TGGGCGGTCAGTTGCTCAAAGGTGGTTATTCTGGTTTCTGACGGGTGGTCACATTAATGTGACTGGACTGTGTAATTATTATAAATATAATTATAAAAATATTATTATTATAAAAATAATTATTTTAAATAATTATTGAAATTAATTGTATCTTAAAATGCTAGTTTCGTCAAATCGTATTGTATTCTTATTTAAATAGAATTTGCAAAGTGTTGCAACATAACCTAATTCTGAAGTCAACATTACTTTAGTTTCACAGCGTAACCCCGAAAATTTTCCTACAATTCACAATTTCTTTGGGGTGTAGTATATAAGGTTACAGTCAAGGTTAATGGACAAATGCTACGAAAAATCTAGTTATTAGATATCGGTAAAGACTTTCGTAAGTTAACAAAATAAATTTCATTCTAGATTTTAAAATTGTGAATAATTTTATTTTGTATTTGTCCTATTATGAGTTTAAACATCTAATTTTCCTTTTTCTATCTCTTTCTCATTTTCTAAAGTCTTTTTTACCGTTTGAACATTTTGTAAACATCTCTTACTATTATGTATTTTAAATAAACGGTACAATTTATTGATTTGATAGAAATTTAAAATTTTACTCTTTGTTACACTTTTGCTAATTCTAAATACCTTTTTTTCTCATTTTTTTTCATATTTTGTTATCCTACTTGCTTGCATTTATACCGTCATAATTACTTATTTTAAAATGTTTAGCTTTTTAAAATGGTTTAAAATTTAATGTAATCCTTTCTTCTTTTCTTCTAAATTTCTTCTTGAGAATAAATCTGCACAGTAACAGTCATTATTGTATTACAGATTTCATTCGCTATAAAAATATATAAATAGGAAATAACAATCGACATGTTTCAAGAGCTCAAAACAGGCGCTCATTTTCAAGACTTGCCAAACGTGAATGAGAACGGAAAAAAGTGACTTGAAAAATAGCCCTAAAGTTGCCAACGAAAAATGAAATGGAAATTTTTTCGTTGGCAACTTTTCGTTTTATTTTTCAAATCACTTTTGTTTCTTCTCATTCACATCAGGCAAGTCTAAAAAATGAGGGTCTGATTGATTGATTGAATGTTGGTTTTTATGACACAAGGTCCACACAAGGACATGCTGCCCCAAACTACACAAAATAGGTGTCTGTTTTCGAGCTCTTGAAACGTGCCTACTTTTATTTCCTATTTATATATTTTTGAAGTGAATTAAGTTTTTAATCTGGTAATATCTTACCTCTTTAGCTTCTTGAGATTATTTATTTAAGTCCATAACGTAGTAAATCATTTATCTAACTTTGTCAGGTAAACATCGCTTAAAAATGACAGCATTAATCACAAATGCAAAACAAACTCCTATTATTACAGTGATTCTAATATGAATTGGAAATGATTTGAGGCAAAGTAAATTAGTCACTAAGCAAGATCCTACAATAATGACTCAGGAAATTACCTCAACTGACCACCAATCAAAGGATTTCGAAAGACTGGAACTTGCTCCAAATTAGGCCGAGGGAAATCAGGGGTGTCTTAATTTCTGGACTCTTAACGACATCAGAAATCTAACTTAGTTACGTCAGGACATCCCAGACTTGCTGGTAATTGATTAAACTGCTCAATTGCGGCTAAGAAGAGTGATTTCGTTTCCCATAGCAACGGATTTTCCTATAGGAAACTGCTGAAATACGCGATCCTATTGAAGGATTCATTCGAGTTACTTGGATTGAAAAACAGAATCATGAAAGGAATACTTTCGTAATTTTTATCAGGAAGCTATTGATTAAAACAAATTTTGGAAGCTTTTTTTCACGTTTTTTTTTTACGTAGTTTAGGCTAGATAGCAAAAGGTTAGATCATAAAATTGCAGGTTCCTAATTATAAAAACCAAATTTTATGCTCATATATTTAGGATATATTCGAGTTCTTTTTATTGAAAATAAAATTTCATAAAAGACATTATTACGCATTTTTATTAAAAAAATTATAGACTAAAAACTTTTTAAACTAGTTTATATGCGTTTTTAAAGTAGTTTACGTTAGAGAGCAAAACATTTGATCGCAAAAGTATATTGTTTCAATTGCAACAAGGCAAGTTTAAGATATCCTCTTGTTCTATCGATTGAAAAATAAATTTAAATAATTTTTTCGCGGTTTGTTGATTAAAACAAATTTTAAAAGCTTTTACACACATTTTTGATGTAATTTAGGTTAGGCAGCAAAATGTTATGTCACTAAATTATATCATCCTACTTCTAATAAACAATTTTTATGCATATAAGTTTAGGATATTCGAGTTCCTTAAACTGATTTACATGATTTTTATTAATGTAAATATAGATAAAAAACTCTTACAATTTATAATCGTTTTTAATTAGTTTAGGTTGAAATGCAAGAGGTTGGGTTATAACAATGTATCTGCAATGGACAATTATTACGGTTTCGCTAGTTAAAAATACAGTCCAGTTCCTTAAAAAGAAAAATGAATTTTATTAAAATATTTCGATGAAAGCAAATTTGATATATTTTTTTGCCTGTAATTTAGATTAGATTGCAAAATTTTCGTTCCACGTAAAATAAGCAATTTTTTTATTACTCGAAAGTACTTTAACACTCTTGCCGTTCAGACTTACATCATAATATTCTGATAAATACGTAACACAGGGCAGTAGTTTCTGAATTGAATATGAGTTTTAAATGTGCAAGATCATAAAAAAGGATATGCTGCTTCAAACAAAAAGCTTCAAAATGAATAAAAAATATAAAGGACAAACACCGAATCTGCAAAAATATAGAAAATGGAAGCAATTTATGTAGTTCGAAACAGCTACGTTTTGTTTCTAATGTTACTGACGAGCTTTGCAGCGGTGATGATCAATTTAGATAGGCATCTAATATTTGAGTTATTTTTTCCTATACATACTTACTTTACAAAAAGAGTTATCAAAACATTTATCAAAGTAAATAATTTTGTTTTTATTTTTTATGTCATGTTTGCAAGAAAAATATTTAACACATTTTGTTATGCTTTATGTGTTTATTTGGATGGTTATATTTCTTTCCTATACATTGAACTATTTTATCTGCAAGGCTCATCGAAAAATCAACACATGTTCAATATTTTACTATTTCAAGCGAAATATTTGTAGTTTTAGATCAATTTTATCAACTGCGGCTTTATTACAAGGTTATTTTTTATGTTATTTTACGCGCAAGATTATTTTTACATTTTCTGACTGTAATAAAAAGCAACATTAAAAAGTGCTATTACATTAATAATTTTATTTCATGAAACATAATGTAGTAATATAGTAGTAATAGCATATGAAAAAATATTAATATGTTATTACATAATGGTAATAGCTGGTAATGGTAATGACATGTCATATATTGAATTTTCAATAAAAAATTGAATTATTGAAAAATCAATATGATTTTAAGATACTTTATAATATGTTCCTATTACAACTGAAAGGTGTTTTTTAATGAAAATTCTAATTTGAAAAGCTTGAAAAGTAGGAAATAAATATTTATTGCTCTTATTTCTTAATAATAAATAATAGTAATAAAAAAATAATAAATGAAATCTAACATTTATGTAACTGTTCGCGTTGTAGAGTTTACACTTTTGGTGTTTAATTTCTATCAGAACAAAATAAATTGATGTTAAATTAAAGAAAACATAAAATTAAAATACTATTTTCCCCCGAGAAATCTAATTTTTTAAAAGGAAGTCACCTAATACCTTTTTTCAATAAGTACTTCAATTAAAATCATGGATTCATTTAATCTGAAGGCATATTAAAAAAATGTTTAAAAATTGTAAATAAATGTGGGCATACAAAAAAAAATGACTATAAAGGTTCTTTAAATCTAATGAATTATTTTTATAATATCTCTAATAGATATTGAATAATTCAGTAGCTTTGTAATATTTTCTATATACATTTATTTGAATTTAATTTAAATATTTTGTCCTAATTCCAGAACGAAAAGAATCAAATCATGACTTCAAACGTCTGGCTGCAATTGGTGAGTAGCAACTTTTTCAACTTTAAAAACTAGGTTTAGCCATTTCTTTCGCAACTGAGTCAGTTGCTCGTTCTGCGTCAATTAAAGCGATAAAACGCACCCCCAGAAATTCCGAGATAACTACGTTTGTTGAAGGTACTATTTCCCTTAACTCGATCTCTTCTCATTAATTGTGCCTCGCGAAAAATTCTTTTTCCTTTAGCTTCCTAGCTCGAATTTTTTTTTTTTCTCTTCTAACTTTAGTACTCCTCCTTTTGTGGATTTAATTTTGCTGGCTGAGAGTAAGATTCATTTTTATCGGGAACGGGGAAACTATTCCAGAATATTATTATTCTTTACGGAAGTAATTTTTTTCCCTCTTATTTGAAAAGATGAATTTCATTTCATTCAGCGCAATTCCTTTTTTGTTTTGTCAGGAGATGCAATTTGAGGTTTAGTTATTCGACGTTTTTAAAGATTAGATGGTTTTTCGTCATTAATAGATAATGCTTTGAAAATGTTTATCTAAAAATAACTTTTTAAAATAAATAGAAAAAATTTATTAATAATAAAGATTGAATTTTACGAATCATATTAAAATGGAATTTAAAAATATAAATTCGAAATATTCAATTTGTTATGGCGTTAAGATTTTTATGTCGTCACAGCAGCTTTACTTTCATTGGACGGCTTTACTTTTATGTATTATTTTTTTTAATACGGGTATGATTAGTTTATGGCTTGATATGTTTGAAAAATATTTTTTTTCGATACTTTAAAAAAATTCAAAATTAATTTTAAATTATTTTAGTTTATTTCGGATGTTTTATTTCAATACTTTAATAGGATAAAAAAGGAATTTAAAAATATAAATTCGAAATATTAAATTTTTTATGGCGATTTTTAAGTCATATCAGCAGCTTTAGTTTTATTTATTATTTTTTTAATACGGGTATGGCTTTATGACGGGTACTTAATGGCTTGATATGTTTCGAAAAAGATTTCTTTTCGAAATTTAAAAAAAAAATTCAAAATTGATTTTAAATCTTTTTAGTTTATTTCGGATGTTTTATTTCAATACTTGGATTCTTATTTTACTTTGATTAATTTATTGAACATGGCGGACTTAATGCAATGAAATGCAATTATATTCTAAATTAAGCTGACACAAATGAAATGAGAAAAATGAAAAAATTAAATTAAAAAAGGAATGGTTGCATAAGTACCTTGGATACGCGGATCCGCTATTTACATAAAAGAAAATGGTTTTCGACTATTTAAAGCGGATTAGTTAAAATTTAACATAAATTCGTTGCTTAAATTTGTAATGAAAGTTTTGTCAAAAATATTTTAAGTATTTTAACTGACATCTGCCATATTTCATGAGCTTATGATTTCAGTTTTTTCCCCGGATGATAATCATATCGTACAAGCCAAATAACTAGTGAAGATTTCAAAGGAAAATTGAAACATGCCACCTATTTTGTGCAAATTTATTAACTGCAAAATAAAGTAGCACTTATACATTATTATTATTATATAAGCGCCGTTTTATTCTACAATCTTATTTCTTAAAGTAACTTGAAAGTGCATCGGTTCAGAGGCTTCTGAGTTTCCGGCGAGAACTGTAAAAAATACTGGATCTAGTTACGGTATAGAAAACTGGAATTTTGAATCCGTAAAAATCCCATTTCATCGTTATTTTTACAGTGATAACTATTTAATTAGAGTGATTCAGTGATTTTACTGTAGATATTAGTGTAAAAATCATGGTATAAATAAAAATTTATCACTTAATATGTTCTCGTAAGATGGATTTCACGATTTGATCCGGAATTTTTCTCAGTAAAGGAAAACTTTCAAACCTTTTGTGTTTATCTTGATTAAAGAGTTGGAAATTTTTGATAACAAAGTAACTGGGAATATGCACTTAGTCTGGTGGATATGGTGAATTGGATTGAATATACCTCTGAATATACTTCAATAGAGAACAATTGAAGATTAGATGCTTTACTACTTTTACATTAAACATAAATATTGCTAATCGGATGAACATTCAACAATAACAAAAGCTTTTAGGTGGATAGCTTATATTCAAATTACTTTCCTCTAAATGTTTCCAAACATCAATAAAACTGAGTATACATAGACACCTAATTCTGTCTAATATGTTATGAATGAGAGCTTCTATCTCAGAATACTTAAAACTATTGAATTATTCAGCTGGATTATACGTTTTACCAATATTCATAAAATGCCAAATATACTCTATAACAAAAAAATCGACGCACCAAGGGAGTTGCCCGATTGAAACGAAAATTTGTGGATAGGAAGACAATGTACAGAATAGTAAATGATTAAAATTTCAGAACAATTGAATAGTTTATTGCCGAGTTACAGTAACAAGTTCAATAAGGTGTTGACCTGCCTCTAGCCTGGATGCAAGCTGCCACACGGAGTAGCAAAGACCGATAAAGCTCCCGGATGGTCTCTTGTGGTATTTCCTGCCAAATTCGATCCAATTGTCGAACGAGATCATCAACAGTCCATGCCAGATGCATTGCCTTCCCATCATATCCCAGACATGCTCGATGGGAGAGAGATCTGGTGATCTGGCAGGCCAAGGAAGAGTTTGACTATCTTGCAGACAGTTCATAACAACACGTACCGTACGTGGTCTGGCATTGTCCTGCTGAAAAACCAGCCCAGGGCGCTGCAAAAGGAACGGTAGCAAAACAGGTCTTAGGATGTCGTCGTCGACGATTAGGATGCCTCGATGATCGTCAGGACACAGTTGGAAGCGGGATTCGTCGCTAAAGACTATACGTCCCCAGTCGGCATCATTCCAGCCTGATCAGTTCAAAATATTCATGCATACGAAATTTCAAAGCAATCGGATGATTGCTTCTTGGTGCGTCGATTTTTTTTGTTATAGAGTGTAGTTTTGAATCATTAATTTATTTTAAAACTGTGAACTAACAAAATTATTTTGAGTATCTTAAATGATTGCCTAAAACAGTAAGAGTTCTAATTACTAATTTCTACACATGTGCTTTCTTTTAAATGTCTTATAAAGTCAATTCTTTGAGATCCAAAAGTGATGCGGAGAAATAAAAGCAAATGAGAATTTAATCTGAATGAAACTTATGATAGATAAAAGCAAAAAAAAAAAAAAAAAAAAAAAAAAAAAAAAAAAAAAAAAAAAAAAAAAAAAAAAAANAAAAATGAAAAAAATCGTAACATTCTTCTTTAGAATATTGTGTCAAAGGCATTATTTAAGGTAACCTTTTTAATCACCTCTAAAAGAATCTTTAAACTCCAGAAAATGAAATTGCATCTTTAACGTTAGTTATCATAGCATTTGCTCTTAATTTCGTAGTTATGATATATATATAATTTTGATAATAATTTGTTATAAAACTGCTTATTACTAATAATATTTTAACTAATTTTAATCGTTTAGTCGTTGCCTATTATAGTAAGAGTTTTGATTAATAATTCTTATGCAATATATAATGTTTACTTTCACAACTATGGTAAGGTAAGTTCTATAAGAGTCTAAGGTGATGAGCAAAAATGAAAGTTTAATCTGAACGAAACTTATGGTAGATAAAAGTAAGAAAAACAGTTTTAGTAAAGTTGACACTCTCTTTTAGAATATTGCATCAAAGGCATTATTTAAATTAAATTACACTTAAAAGGTAACCTTTTTAATCCCTTTTAAAAGAATCTTTTAATTCTCGGAAATGAAATCACACCTTTGGCGCTATTCATCATGCCAAGATAGAAAGCTTAGCGGATAGCTGGAGGCAATAACTCTTCGAATAAATAATGTTCCCAAGTCGAACGAAAACAATCGGCCTCCCATAATCTCATCTTTCCCCGAAGTCGCATTTTAAAATAATTAACATTCCCTCACACCTTGCCTTAGTTTGTGTTTTAATCTCCCTTTAAGCTTCTCGGTGAAGACAACCATTTTGAGTTGTTGCAAGCCTTCTAATCTCGCCATACCGACCACAGGAAAGGACAGTTTCTCGCCTGACGTTTACGTTCTATGTTCTAATTAGAACGTTGAGTTCAGGGGAAGCATTTTTAATTACTGTATGGATTTCAAAGTCCTTTGTTCACAACATGACTTGAGGCTTGATTGAGAAGAAGAGGTTTTAAATGAAGCTTGACATAACAAGCATAGCTCAGCTTAAAAGCGCCGCAGGAGATATGTTTAAGGAAATTGAATCAATTTATTTAGAGTAATTGTTAGTTGTAATTAGTGAAAAATGAATTTAAAATTTCGTATTAAGTTGACTGGAAATATATTATTTTATCCTCGTTATGTGTCTTTATTGATAATCGTTAATTGTGTTAATTGAGTCAAGAATTATTTACCTTTTTTGGACTTCATAATATCCTTAAATTATTGTAATAACTGAATTGTAATAAAGAATGATTTACCTTTATCGATGAGGTTGTAAATTATCATAATAATTGAATTGGGATGTGTAATGAATTTAGGATTAGACAATGTTTTGGATTAGAAAATATTATTAAATTTCTCTGACACTTGAAATAAAGGGCTGGTTAGGTTTTGTAAAATAGGCGAGAAAATTTTCATCAAGTGTATTTTAACCACTTGAAGTTTATATTTATGCTAAATGACCTAATGTTATTTTGTCTGTTTATTGTTTTAAAAATATTAGATATTTTCAATAGCTCAGATTGAAGCTATATCAGAAGAAATTTCTCTAAAATTGCTCATAGGTTCAAAGAGACTGCTTTATAATTTGTATTGACTTAATTTGAAACTTAACTTAATACAGTAATATGATCAGATACAATCGAGATACTGATTCGTCATACAGTAATAATAAAAAAAATCAATTAATTTTTAAAAATTAATTTTTAAAATTTATTCAGGCTGATTAAACGCCGGTTGATTAAAAATTTTCTTTTGATAATAAGCTGACCAGCATCCTTCTAAGCCTGAAAAAAATATTAGTAAAATTACTAAACGAATAATTAACATCTAATTGCTTCACCTTTCCAAATTAACAGTATAAAAACAGAAATCCCTTGAAGAAATTCTCTAACAGAAATAATTTGTTTTAAATTATTGAAAAGGTAAAGAGGAGAGTTTTTCGATTGTCTCTTTAGAAAGTTTTCGACGAAATTTTCAGTTTTGGGAGGATGCTGGTCAGCTTAATAATACTTAAGTTAATAAATGATTATTTCACTTTTTCAGTTTATTAAATTGAAGTAGATGGCAAATATTTATCATTTAGCATCTTGATATGTTACTCTAATAGGCAAATGTCCCCTCATTCCACTTTTTATTCAACGTAATTTATATATTCAGGTGCATTTTTTTGCTTATATANTATATATATATATATACACTTTTTTCTGAGAGCATTCACTTTGAGATATCCAATGCACGACGATAGTTTCAAATCATTATTCATAACATACATATTGTTGGAAAATACACCTTGCAATGTTAGACTTGAAAATTTTTATTCAAACCAGATGAAAATGAGTACTTTTTTTTTAAAAAATTAATCCTTCAGTAGCAAAGTAGAATTCGGTTAAAGTTAACATTTTAAATAATTTAATAGTTATAAATTTTTATAAATTTTTCACTGTCAAGCATATGAAATGAAAGAAAAAACAGATTTTGCATTTGCAGTAACCAGATAGCAGCCCAAACTTCATTAGTTTGCCAAACTTTATTATTAGTATTCATTAAGGAGTTAGTAATTGGCGAAAGAGCCCTTTATGGCTAGGTCGCACATTCAACTTTGTTTAAAAGATGATCCTTACCACAGAACTTCGATCTAAATAGTTATATTATAAAATCAGTTATACTGTAAGCAATTTTTTATTTTCTTTGCAAGAACGCTGTAGTTAATATTTTTGTTTGAGCAATAATCCCTACAAATTTTTTTAATTTACTTCACAATATAGTTTTAATTCTGATTTTTGTTTTAAAGTTCTTAATAGCAAATCTATTTTGGATGTCTGGTTTCAAACTTTATTCTTAATGTACGCACTTAATCTTATTTTTTTTATGCATTTCAAGAGTTGCTATGTAATATTTTTTTAAAATAGGTTTGGAGTGACTACCAGCTGAGATGGGACGAAGCGGATTATGGAGGAATTAATGTCTTAAGATTGCCGCCAGACAAAGTCTGGAAACCTGATATCGTCCTTTTTAACAAGTAAGACAAAGTTCTAATTTGCAGATTATTTTATTTTATTTAGGGAAAACAGATGTGGCGAATGAAGAAAAAAACTCGTATTAATTTGCAGTCGATGAAAAAAATTCAAGAAAATGTTTTCATTGTTTTGAAAACACATATATTTCAGCAGTTAAATGTGAATAAATGAAAAATTAACTTTTCACATCTGTATGTATTTTAAAATTATAAATACTGCTAATTCATTTTCTTTACTTAAGAAAAAGTTTTGAAATACAACAAAACATGAATGTCGCCCTATTTTGGAAAAAACTTTTTTTAGTTTCTATAAATTAAATAGCTTTGTTCACAAAAATTATTAAAAAGACTATTTGGTAATTAATTTTTAATAAATGATATTAAATTACATATTTTTAAATATTTAAATGCTGTTTTAAAGTGCTTAATACAAGGTATCTTGTCAACTTATGGCTCAAATTTTATAAAGGTTAAACTTTATTGAGGGCATAGTTTGTAGAAGCAATAGTTATTGCTGTCAGTTATCATCGTTTTTGTTGTTTTTTCATTGTTCTCTTACAATTTCTCCTTGTTCATCTAAATTTTGTATTGATTCAAACAGTAGACTATGGATTATGATTTCAATGAAGTACAACCACAAAAAATGTTTACGAATTCAAATTTCAGCCGAATTGATTTTGATAAATTACTCGGGTAAGGAAAATGAAATCAAAATGCTTCCAAGATGGAATTACTTAATGACTATCTTTATCATACATTTTTGGAGTCCATGCCAAAAAAGAAGTGAAAAAAGGATACACATTAAGAATCGCAATTTTATATTTAAGCGAGGTAAAAATATACGTTAATTTGACAAATAACTTTTGTGAAAAGCAGGAGTTAAAATTTCATCAGGCAAGCAAACAAGTTCTAACGTGTTTCTAATAATTAATTTGTATTTTCTATCAGTTTTTCCAGAAAATCAAACAGATTTTGATAATTAAGTTCGATTTCATTTGATTTCAATGGAATTTTTGCATTTTCACTTAAATACAAATTAGCGTTTGGACAAAGATTTTAAAAATAAATATTAAGAGTTTTATTACTGAACACCCTGTGTATAGTTTAATTCGATGAAATAAAGTCAGAATACAATTATTAATAACAAAATTTATTTTTCTGAAATCTTAAATCAATTGAAGAACACTATGTGAGAACAGTATTTCAAAACAGCTTTCTATTCACTTTATATGTCCAACTTCGGTTTTTGTATATAATTTTGCGTTATTGCGATTTTATTTCCCTTACTTTTCACACATAAAAATTTCCTTAATCGTTTGAAACAAATTAGGCTAAATTAATCAGACTAATTTATTATAACACAATGAAGGAAACAGCATCATTAGGGTAATTTATCCATTCACTAGTCAGAAATCCCTCATCGAAGCGCGAGTGACAATTTGTAATTCCATCGTCAAAATCCTGAGTTTACTTCCTCTCCAAAATCATACAAAGCATAGAAATAACAGCAGGGTTTATTCTAGTAATCTCTGCGGAACCATCTAGAACTGTAGATCAGTGCGAATACCAAAAGCGATTTCCCATTATGATCCCAAGGAATGATGTGGAAGAGTTTCCAGAATCATCCTCATTATATTCCTCTATGTCGAAGAGAGGGGGGATAGAGCCCCCTTTTAGAACGTGGTGGGGGCAGAGACCCCTTACTAAGCATTGAATGCATTTAATAACTCGAAACGTCGCCCCATCTACGTTTTGATGACCATCAGCTCTCATCCCTTTTACCAATTACCATTAGGGACTTTCGGAACCCCCCCCCCTCTGAATTCGAGTTCCCATTCATTAGCGGGCGAGAATGATAATCACTCCCACTTCTCTTTTCATTCTGATTCTCTAAGCTTGAAATTATCACGGAACGAATATAAGTTATCCTCTTGTACGCGATCACTGTGAATTGAGAATAACCTCATCGGCCACGTTGCTTCGTGAGTTGTGCAGTTATTGATCCCGTTTTAGGATGCTGAAAGCTGCTCTCCCTCATTCAGGTCAAGTCGTTTTGGCAGTTCTTTTTCCCGTTCCATTATTTAAAGTTGTCTTTCGAATTTTTTAAAGAATTGATCTTAATTACTTTTGGAAAAGAAATATTAATAATGAAGATGCTTACAAGTTGGATCTTTTCAAGTTGTTGATGAGTTTCTTAAATTGAAAAAAAAAAAATTCTTCTAAAGATTTTTGTACTTAATTTAGTTAATAATACGTATTCGACAACGCTGAGCACAATGGATTAAAAAATAACTGAAATTAAGATAAAATGTTAAAGAAACAGATTTACAGTCGTTAATTAGTCTCAAATGTAGGGATATTCACTTTAAAAAAAAATCAAAAACCTTTTATTTATGTTTCTGAATTGTCACAGAATACTTAAAATTCGTAAATTACATAAAAATATTTTTATGCTTTTGATGGATTAAAAATATTTTGAAACTTATTTTTTTTAAAAAAGAAAAGAATTAAGAAAAAAGAAAAAGGCAAAAGCCGTTAAGGAAGATCTGTTCAGTTTTTTTCACCAATTAATCTCGTGCTCTCAATATGTTGTTAAATCTAATATTTTGTACAAATAATTTTTGTTCTTAGTAGTAACTACTATATAAAATAAACTAAAATGAATTACTTTGAGACGTAAATACGATTTAATGTTTCAATAACTAGTTTTGTGATTGAATTGAAAGTATGGTTTAATGGCACAAGGCCCAAAAAGGACACGCTCAGCCAAACATACGGTTGCCATAATGTGAGAAGATTAAATGGTGATTATTAATAAAACTACATAGATAAAAACGTACAAAAGTAAGTAATATCTGGTAAACTAGTAAATACAATAAAACAGTTATATATAATTTAAAATACCAATGGCGCGCAGAAATGCAAAGATGCTTGGATGTAATTTTCTACAAAGTCTTTTATACACAAAGTGAATTACCAAAAAAGGTAATACTATGTTAGTTGAAACAAGGAAAAATAATTTAAATGTAAATGGAAAGTAAAACCTTACAAGCATATAACTAGTTTTGTAAAAATAATATTGAATTCATTTTATTACGATTCTGATGTTTAGCTTTGTATCTGATTTTAATATATGTGTTTAAAATATCTTTCAGTGCGGATGGCAATTATGAAGTCCGTTACAAATCCAACGTCCTTATCTACCCGGAGGGTCAAGTGATGTGGGTTCCTCCGGCCATTTATCAGAGCTCTTGTACCATTGATGTCACGTATTTCCCATTCGATCAGCAAAAATGTGTTATGAAGTTCGGATCTTGGACTTTCAACGGTGATCAAGTGTCCTTAAAGCTCTATAATGACAACTTCTGGGTCGACTTGTCCGATTACTGGAAGTCCGGCACCTGGGACATAGTAGAAGTGCCCGCCTTCCTCAACATCCACAATCAGTCCAAGAGCGGTCAGCCGACAGAAACAGATATTTCCTTTTACATAACTATCCGGAGAAAGACTCTCTTTTACACTGTCAATCTGATCCTGCCAACGGTGCTCATCTCCTTCCTCTGCATCTTGGTCTTCTATCTTCCGGCTGAAGCCGGAGAGAAGGTTACTCTAGGTATCTCGATTCTGCTCTCACTGGTCGTGTTCCTGCTTCTGGTCTCGAAGATCTTGCCACCGACCTCTCTCGTGCTTCCGCTCATCGCTAAGTACCTGCTGTTCACTTTCCTTATGAACACCGTGTCCATCCTGGTCACGGTGATTATTCTCAATTGGAACTTTAGAGGCCCTAGGACTCATAGAATGCCAAATTGGATACGGGTGGTCTTCCTTAAGTACTTACCCATAATGCTTTTCATGAAGAGACCCAAAAAGACGAGGCTGAGATGGATGATGGAAATGCCGGGTATCGGTGCTCACCATCACTATCATGGTGGATCTCCGGACATGAAGGGTGGAGCCACTTGCCACACGGTTAAAGGTAAAATGGACTTTGTAGAAATGGCTGATATCCACCATCCGAACTGCACTGCTGCTAGAGCATCGCAGCAGCAGGTTGGAGATTCTCAATTAAGAGATATGGAAGGCCCAGAAACATTATACTTAACACCAGAAGCTTTCAGAGCGACGGAAGCGATTGAATTTATTGCTGAACATCTTAGGAGTGAAGACGAGTACATTCAAGTAAGAGCATTTTTAATTTTAAAGTAAGGTTTAAGAGCCTTTAAAGGTCTCATTTGGGATGCATATTTTACAAATCCCATGCTTACTCTACGTAGGACAGTACTTTTCAAAGCGTTGTTGATGAATTAAATTTTGTGATATCTCCTTAATAATTTTGGTAGATAATTAAATACTTTATTTTATAAAATATCCTGCACTTCTGAATTGATTTACAATTACGAAAATTCGTAATTAGATATTATAATGATACAGATTTAAATTTATAATTGTTAAAAAGTAATAATTTTAAAAGTGCGAGAAACAGTTTTGAAATAAGATTTTATTGTTATTAATATTTGAGAATATACTTCAGAAATTTGCTTTTAACGGAAGTTAAAATTGTTCAAACAGCTTTTTCCCCAGTATTCTGAATGTGCTATATGGAGAAAAATAAAAATTTAAAGCCATATCAAACAAATATTTTAAACACATGAACAAGTGATTTTCCAACATGTTTTATACACCAGTTTATCACGTAAAGAAGTTGAAAACTTTCCACGATAACTTTGAGCATAATAGAACTTCTTCTCCTTGCAAGAGATTCCTTCATCGCTGATAGATTTGGATACTACTTCCGGTTGTTTCCAATCTGCCTTAAACCACGAACAAAATTTCACAAGGATATCCCATCTGAAAGCCATTTCGAGTTACGGTTTTCAATTTTCAAAACGACGCTGCTTTTCAAGGGAGGAAAAAAAAACACTTTTATATTTTTTCTAGTTTTGTACGATATAAGATGAGAGAACACTGAGCACTGGCATCTGGAACAATACGATCCAAAACGGCTTTTAAAGTTCCTAGTGATTGAGGACTTTGAATTTCAACCGGGTTTGCCTGCAACTTTTCTTGCCTTTCTTCTCAATAACCGGAGAAATACTCCGGAGTAAAATTGGATCTCCTTCGCATATATAAGACCCGGAGGGGAAGAATAAAGAACCTTTTTCTTCTGTCAGATAGGAAAACAGAGAACACCTTCGAGAGAAGAACCAACTTGGATGGTACGAGTTGCGATCGGTCAGTTAAGCAGTCGGACTTCAGCCATTCTTCTTCTTCTGATTGAAACGACTTTCATCTTCCTTGCTATTCTGGTACCGATTTCTTATTGGGGCCAGTAATCCCCCAGGAGAATTTCATCCCCAACGTTCTTATTTTCGAGCTTTTTTTTTCTTACGTTCGATTCCTAAGAGAGCTTTTTCTCTTAGCTTTAGATTTTTCGTTTCATTTTTTGTTACCCAGTACTAGATCTCTTTTTTTCTTCTCCTTTTTCTCTGTTATTATTGGTTCTCACTTTGTATTGCTGCAGCTGCCGCCTATGAGTGTAAGGGTTTACGAGGTAGTTTCGGTAGAATTTCGTATAGAGAAGTGCGTCTTAAACAATAAATTTTGTAAAGTGCCTAAACCATTTGATGAGTTTAAATCGTGCTCTTGAAGTGAGATAGTGAAAGTGATATAACAGAGAAAGTATTGTTCAGACAAAAAAAGTAGAGTAAACATTATTTTTTTTTTGTTTTACTTCCATAAAATGATCCTCCCTCTCAAAATATTTTGCCTTATTCACCTCGTCATTATTATTCCCATGTATAATGTATTCCTTTTATAATTTATTCATTTTGTTTATATAAGTACTAAAATTATCTCTCGATGCACTTTTCACAAAAAAATAAAAGAAAATTTTTTAAAATGTTAACAGTTATAGCATGATAATTTTTTTTGGGACAAAACCATAAAGGAATGTAGAAACTAAAATTGAATCACGTTTATTAAAAAAATAATAACAATAACTTAAAATAAGGCTATGTATTAAGTATTTCTTTTAAACAAATTTTATTAAAGACTGAACAATGGTTCATGAAATAGCTCTTTAAATTCAAACTCGGAAGAATTTAAATATGTGAAGAAGCAAAGAGTTTGTTAAATATTTTTTTTGCAGTTAAAACACATTTTAACTAATTATACGCATTTGCCAAAACATGCGTCGTTATATTTTGATAATTTTTCGACATTTTTTATTATGTCTTTAAGGTTTAGAGATTTTTAAATTTTTCCGAGCAAACAAAGCGTTTCCCAGGCTTAGTTAGTTTTCGTATTACCTGGTTCCTGCATTTAATATAAATATGACCAATAATATTAAAAGGTGTTATTTTATTTTATTAATCAATATCGCAGTAACTGCATGATAATTAAAGTCTACATATCATGTAATTACTCTGACGTCATTCATTAAAAAATGATCGTAGCTTAACTTACTAACACATTTTATTAAAGCACATTTACTGAATAAACGTTTTAATTACTTTTTCTGCTTGCTTTTAAAGTAGTTAAAACAATCTAAAATAAAAATTATTTCATTTTAATAATGATAGTGAGACTTTAAAATTAATTTTCAATTATTTTACCGTAACATAGTTTTTATAAGTATGTAATTATCATGCGTTTGTCTTTTGAATAGAATGGAAATTTTTTTTTGCTTTATTATCTTTAGCAAAAACTTTATATTCATGCAATTCATTAAAACGCAATAATAGTTTGATTAAATGGAAATTTTTTCTCGGCTTCGTTCAAAGAATTGTTTTTGTAAAAATAATATATCTTGTTGAAAATTAATATTTTTTAGAAATTTTCAGCTTATGCAAATGGAGTGAAATTACGCTTAAAAAGCGAAAATTTATTTTGATTGAGCGAAGGGTGGAAATTCGAGTCTTTAATTGAAAAACGCTTTATCACTCAAATGCAAATAATTGAGCTTTATTTCCTAGAACTCAAACATAAGCTATTGTACATAAATATTCTATAAAACTGCATTTTCATATAATATTATATTTTAGTGACAAAAGAGTTGAATGAATAAGCCATTTAATTATTACTAATTATTATTCAAATATCTCTATAATAGAAAGACTTAATTATAATTTTATAACTATAGTAGTATATGAAATTATAAGTTATTGAAGGTTCAATTACTAAATTATTCCGTAATAGCATCCGTTGCTTAGTAAAATTAATAAATTTTGATAAGCAGCAAATATTATTAATTTATTAAATTAATAAATTTTAAGAAATTAATATTTTATTAATTAATTTTAATTAATTTAATTTTAATTAAAAAATAATTAATAAAATTGCAAAAATTTTAAACTCAGAAAAACTATTATACTATGCAGTACTTAAGTGAAAGAATATATATTATTGCGCATTTAAAGTAGCAAAACAAAGATGTATTACAAGCAATGCCTGACGCAAATACCAAAGAGAAGGAAAACGTAGTAACAAACAATACACATGAAAAACAAGTAATATGAGAATAACAAAATGTTCTTCTACTAATAACAAACGAAAATCTGCTTTTTTTGGACAAAAATATAAGTTAAAAACAAAAAAGAACGTTTAGATACGTAACTTTATACCTTNTACAAGCAATGCCTGACGCAAATACCGGAGAGAAGGAAAACGTAGTAACAAACAATACACATGAAAAACAAGTAATATGAGAATAACAAAATGTTCTTCTACTAATAACAAACGAAAATCTGCTTTTTTTGGACAAAAATATAAGTTAAAAACAAAAAAGAACGCTCAGATACGTAACTTTATACCTTTCTTTCCCAATACATCTAGACATAATATTTTCATAATATGTTTGACATAATATGAAATATTATGCCAAAATGATAATACTTGACATAATATTTTCAAGAAAAAATAATGATACATTTACTTAAAATTAATGTAGCATTCTTGTATTAGTAAGAATGAAGAATCAAATTCCTTTTTTTTTTGTATTGAATGTAAATTCAAGTAACACGATATCTGAAAAGGGATAAGATATGTCTAGTGCATACTGTTACTTCTCATGATATTGATAAAAAGGATACAGAACGAGGCATACACATTCAAGTAAATAAAAGCTTTAAAAAGATGACAAAAATAGCATATATAAAGCTACGCAGAATAGGTTAAATATACGTTAAATACAAAAGTGAGCAAAATCCGAAAAATAAAATATTTATATTCAGTTTAAAATATCGTTGGAGCGTAGAGGCACAAAACTATTAAGATTATGCTATTTAACATGTTAAAATGCACTGTTGAATCTATATTTCTATAAGCATTTTTTTAAAGAAAGGTAAGGTTTTTTTTCTTTTTTAGAAATAGGAAAGGTAAATAAAATGAAAAGAGTTAAATAAAAAGAGCGAGAAAGCAATAGACTTTATAGCGAAGAAAAGTATTAATTGAAAATTAAAAAAAATAAAAAATAATTAAAATTATAAAAGTTATAAAATTTAACAATGAAAAGATATAATCTCGGCATTAGTCACTCGAATATATCAGCTTGCAAAATGTTGTTTGCTTTAAAACAGTCAAAACAAAATATACTAACTAAATAGTGTGAGTAGAGTTATAAAACTTAATAAATCTTAAATTCTTCTTTTTTCTTTGAAATTTTTTCTTTTCTTTCATTCTATTTATTATCTGTCATATATATAAAGTCCAAGTTTATGAGGATGTTTGTTAATTCAATGAATTTACGAAAGATTCTGTATTTTCTAGATACGTGAAGACTGGAAGTATGTTGCCATGGTTATAGATCGGCTACAGCTGTATATTTTCTTCGCAGTAACAACAGCCGGCACCATAGGAATATTACTAGATGCTCCTCACATATTCCAGTACGTCGACCAAGACAAGATCATAGAAATCCATAAAGGAAAAGCGACTTGAAGAGATACGCTAATAAATAAAATAAATAAATAAAAGAAAAACGACGCTACTGTGAATAAATAACACGTAAACAATTCAACGATAAAATACTGAGAATATCAAATTCTCATTTTATATTAGAATATACAAAGGCGGAACTTATATTTCGGTCAACTGCCCATTTAGACCGAATGTTCCCAGTAAAGAACAGACGGGTATCCATAAACATTATTATTATAATCCATTTGAATATGTACATAAATTAAATGGGAGAAAAATCTACTTAGCAGAAAAAAAAAGTACGACTTTGAAGAAAAGTTGGAAAACATTGAAGTTACTATCATGATTCATCCCCAAAGCGTGAATGATTTCTTTTTTTAAAATTAAAATAACAAGATGTAGAGAAATTTTAGACGAAAATTATTGATACCCATAGTAGCAAAGTATATGATGGTTTGGTGGTTTGTTATGAAGTCTGAATGATTTAAAAAAAAATCAGATTGTGTTTATATTGTAAATATAACCATGTGGTTAAGCTTGTAGATAATGCGTTATTTCCCTGTTTACCCCAGATTTTATTAATCTACATTTGTAACTATAGACTCTCGTTTTAACATAAGCCATGACGACAAGTATGTGTGTGTGTGTGAGCTTTATATATTACTATAAATATATATATATACATATAACTGATAATTTGTGATGCAAAATCAGAGCGCAAATAAAAACCTCCATTGCATATTAGTTGTGCAGTGTTGTAATGGGTGCATGAGCAGCAGCAGTAATAGCGTGCGCATGTGTACTGCAGTGTTATTTTTGTCATGCTTTGTGCTTGCCTTCTTAAAGCTTGTGGTTAGTTGGACAAATATATGTTTTAAACTTTAATACTATATTTTAATTGACTAATTAGTTTGCATTCGTGATAAAAAACACAATTTGTATGACTGAAATATAACTACATAGCATGAGCTTTGTAAGCGTCTAGTGTGAAGAACACATGTATTTTTATTTCAATAATAGCTTTAATATACTTTTATTTTTATGATACAATCAATATGCATTGAGTAATAGAGCAGAATTGGGAGATATGTCCAAAAATAATTATGTATTTAAGCGTTTTTAACGTTAAATTTGTAGCGTTTTTTCAATGTTGTACTTCTAAAATTATTTTGGCGTTACATATGAAACAATATTTTAACGTTACCTCAGAATCAATAGTTTAATGTTACCTCTGAAACCAAATTTTAACGTTATAACTGGAAGAAATTTTAACGTTACATTTGTAATATTAATTAAACGTTGAAAATACGTTACTTTACGTTACTTTTCACACTATTTGGAATTCCGTTCAATCGAATAATTTGATCAATAAAGTGTATGTTTTTAAGCAGAATAATAAAAATACTAAAAATTAATAATGCAATTCGTACTCGATAAAAAAATTACAACACCAAAAAAAAAATATTTCTATCATTTCAGAATGTAAGTTCAACGAGTGTAAGTTTAATACGTTAAACTACGACTAATGTTTAAACAACATTTAATATAAGAAGAAATTTTTTTCTATGGATGGATATCAAGCAATTTATTTTAATTTTTAAATTATTTATTTTATTTAGTTCCTAATATCTCAGTTTTTTGAAAAAGGACACCTGATTTATAAATGTTTTTTCAACGTAAAATTCATAAATTTGAAGAAAAATAAAATTTACTTTGCATGATTGGATGCTTTTCCAAAGGAACTATTCAAAAGTTAGTTTTCTTTTGATTCAATTAAACTATATATTTGTTTGAAAATCAAATTTTTTGATAAAATGTTGTTGCTTTTTATTTTAAAATAAATAGTGCATGCTGCTAACTTAGCAATATCTTCCACTTTTCTGCTGCTCTTTACTTAAGCTGAACTGTATACGATGGTGCAATATGTTTAAAGTGTATCATACAATGACGTTATACGAGTTTAATATATAATTTTATAGCATAAATTAGAGTTAGTCAACATCTAGATGAATTAAGTTCAATATTTAGTGTAATTTTTACTCAAGCTAATCAACCAAACGTTGTTGAAATTTTCATACATTATTCCAACTATAAATTTGGATTAAAAAGTAATGTTCTTAAACAGAATCGTAAGGATATTTTTAATTTCAAAAACCTTTTATAAAGAAACAAATGGTACATACCAATGGTATAAGACCCTTTTGACCCACAATATGCAATGATATTTTAATTAAAATGGATAGTTAAAAACTTCATTTCCAGATTTACTTTGTCACAGGGATATACAGACGAATTGTAAGATTAAAATATTCTAAGTTTATATTTAATAAAAAAATATATTTTCAAATATTAATTTCCAAGAAAATACTGGTAATTTCTAATATAAACTGCATCGTAATTATTAAGTGATTTCATGCACTGAAATATTTTGATTCTGTTATGTTATTAAATTTTTAAACATATACATTGAAAATATACATTTATATTTAAATATAACCTTCATTTTTATTAACTAAAATGTAATTCATTAATATTTTACTAAGTTAATAATGATTATTTAGGATTTAAAAGAAAAATTACTTTAAGAGCCAAGACCATTTCGAAAAATTTCAGAATTCTAATTAGTTAAATCTAAGAAGCATTGCAGAACCGAGTGTTTTAATATTTATAAAAATGCTTTTAAGTTGAAATATTAGCTATCAAGCTATAAGCTGTTAACAAAGTTTTTTTTACGGTATCAAACATTTAAAAATATGAAATACTAAGTAATAGCTTTGCAACGAAAATTGTGAATGTTTTTGGTATTTAACGTGCTTCATTTAAATTAGATTACCTTTCAACTCAAGTGTTTTATTTAATTTTGAATACATTTATTTGCATGCAATATTAAGCAAAATGTCATCTTAATGAGTCTAAAATTCGTATTTTAAAAAATCAATTGCCTACTTTAATTTCTTTTAAAGACACTATTTGAGAGAGAAGAACAAGTGACAATGTTTTTAGGCAACTATCTTTTCTGAATTTAAATGAAGACTTTGAGATGACGAATTTATTAATTAAAAAGAGGAAAACCTATTATCTTAAAGTAAATTGAAGTCATTAAAGTAAAGTCATTCCGTTGAGTAATGTGGTTTTAAAAACAGTTCAATTAAGCAATACTTTCTGTATGACTAGCAAAAAAAAAAATTCTTTTAAAAATGATTACTCAAATTGATTACTTTTAAAATTGATTGCTGCCTCAATGAAATATATTTACATTTAAATATGATCATTAATATCTGTTTTAATTTATAAATCAAATACACGATTGGCAAATTTTATTTTTACAACTTTGGCGCATTTATAATCGATGAAATGAATAAGATAGTTAAGTAATGTTGCTTGCAAAGGTCTTAGCAAAGGATAGTTTTTATTACGACATTTTATATGTTATTCATGTATAAAATATACGAGCAATTATTCAACATATCTGAAGTAAGTAATTTCAATTCAACTTTAATTTTAACTTCACCGAACTGAAATAAAGAAAAATGATGCTCTTTACTAAACCTTTAAAGATCCTTCGAATAATAATAGCAATAACGAATTAGAATCTCACGTTTGCTCTTATTCAAATATTATTATAAATGAATATATTGTATGCAAAATATTATTTTTTTTTACACTTTAAAAAGCTTTAAGTTTTGCTAAGACCAATTCAAGCAATAGAACTTTTTTATTAGGTGTTATTTTCCGTCAAAATTCAAAATTTCATTTTGGTTCATATTTTTCCTTATTATATTTAATATTTTTTGCAAATGTTGAGCTTTGCTTTAAATCATTTCTACGATGTTCAATAACGGTAATTTTTCCAATATTCACTGATGTAAATTTTTATGGTTTATTGTTTTGTCTTTTAAAGTGTTATTTTATGTCACTCTTGTTACAAAATAAAATATTCAACTTGAAATAACTTCGAAAATGCTAATATTTAGTTCCAAATTTAAGTAAACAACCAATTAAGAAAGATTTTAAATCTCTTTTGTTCATCTGAAGTATTTGGAAACTTTTCATGAACTTAAACATGCCGATATTCAACTTTTAGAATACTGCCAAATATGTGTATGTTTGCCATGAAAAATTGAATGAGGTATGAAATAATTTTTAACTCTTGATTAATAAATTTAGTTGTGCTCAAACTTGTAAATGTTTGAACGCTAGTAAAGAGTTGTTGTTGATATGAGAAAAATGTAGGGCTACGCTTTATATTAAATTGTTTGTTTTTAAAAGTGTGCATTTCTTTATTCTTTTTCACATCTAGACACAACAAACGTAGCATTATATTTAATGCAAAGTTTAATGACACAAGTTTAGTATAATTCAATGATAAAGGGGGAAAAATCCCTACTATATTTGTAGGTTGAAGGATCCCTATTTAACTGAAAAAAGTGTTCTAAGTGGACAAACACCTCGGGGTTAAATCTTTATATATTTTAAGAAGCTTAACATTTTAAGGAGTGATTTTTTATGGAATATTTTTAAGAATTTTGAGTGAGACAAGTATATAGAAGTTATTAAATAGAGTTTACAAAAATTGATTCTTTGAAATCAAAAATCATAAATTTAAGGTTACTCTGAGAAATTTATCAGCGTTAATTAAAATTTTAAAATTAACTGTCACCAATTAGTTTTGAAAGTAAATATTGTAATCATAAATAGTTATGCTTATGATACTAACTTTTTTGAAGCAAATGAATTCCATCTAATAAAGCTAAAAAATAGGAATAAAGCACAATAATGGTGCACGAATAAACATATTAAAGAAACTATTACATGGGTTTCTCTGTATCGTTATTTTGAACTTTATCTTCGCAGCATAAAAGTATACCCTACCATCTTTTAGACATATTCGATCTAAATAAAGAAGAGTATTTTATGCTGCTAATAAATAAACTTAAATGAGAAAAGCAGAAATATCATCATACAGATGCAATCATTTCGCTACCATTACCTTGTACAGTATTAAAACAAATTATAAAAGAGAGTTACATGGTTAATAATTGATCATAAGTAAAACAGTACAAATAAATGTAGGGTAAATTCATTGCGAGCAATTGCAGAATTAAATAGAGTTAATTTAAATGTTGGGTTTGATGGCAAAAAATCTATAGGTAGACATGCTGCAGCAAGCTGCATTGAAACAGATAGTTAAAGTATATAATGAAGTTTTATCTTCCAAAGTACTTGTAGTTTAAAGCCCAAGTACATTTAAAAGTCCATAAAATCAACAAAAAATGTAATGATAAAACGGTACTTTGATAATTAATACAAAGTAAATAGAATCGAATACATCATGAAACATTTATATACAGTCTAAAATAAAAATTGCGCTTAAAAACGCAAAAAGATTGAGGTGATGGATTTCATCCAGCAAATCAAAAACAATTTTGGAACAAGCAATTTTATACCTAAAGGAGAACTGCCGAACAAGGTAAGATGGTATGTGTTAAAACAGGAATAATTGATTGAAATATGATGCATTGGGTGAAGAGTATGACGTGTATTGCATTGGTGTGCAGGGTATCCGAATAAAAGGTAAAGGTATGCTAAACAAGTGAGGCCGATGAGGCGAGTAAGCATTACAACTGCATTACGTAGAGGCGTACAGGTTGCGTACAGGTTAAGGGTTAATATCAGATTTGATGTTGTAAAGTTTATTTGGTGTTTGCAGATTCCAGTGTTGTTGCCATAGAGAGGCGATAACCTCCGAATATGTAGTTTAATGACTGAGAATGGTACAGATGTTGTTAAAAAAGTAGTAGCAGATTGTGCTGCAGAATCTGCCAGCCTATTCCCTGGCATACCGACATGACTCAATACCCCCTCACCCATAAAAAACTGGGAAATTTATTATTGTGAAGAGTGATTAGGGAATGATTTATGAAATATATAATTTGATGAGTATCACTAGAACTTCATTAAAGGTTTGATGGCACAGGGAAAAAATTTTTGCACCTAACGAATTTATATTTTAAAAAGCAGATTAGTAAAGAGCTATAACTTTATCTTCATAAAATACATAAAAATAACAAATTTAACGACTTGTAAGACAGGTAGTTTCAACAGCACATGAAATTGGATAAAATATGTAAACATAATAAAATAGTTATATACAATATAAAGTAAAAAAAAGTACGTAAGAACACAGATGTAAGGATAATGGGTTCCTTCCAAAAAATTCTTTAAAGACAGAATAAAACAATCAAAAAGGATAATGTGATGTATATTATATATATATATATTATATATANTATATATATATATATATAACTTTATCGGAGATAATAGTTTTCTTAGTTCTCAACAAAAGTCACTGTGCTATCAATCAGTGAAAGTGCTGACATAATGTAACATAAATATTTGATGCACAAAGGAAATGGAAATGAGCTGAATAGTGATTATTCAAAACTATTGATATTAAATGCGCCTGAGACTCAAAGTGGTTCTGATGCTTTTCAATTCCACCTTTTCTGTGATATTGCTTGATACATTTCTTTCGGAAACTTTTGCTGGCATAAATACTATTGCATAATAGTAGCATCTCGTAATACTTATATTTTTTCTACAGTTTTGACATGGACCCCAAAATGTATGGCTATTATGATATACGTAAACTCCTAATCGATGCTTATTTTTTTCACTGAAAGGGATGAAAAGGAGATTAATTGTGCAAGAATTCATCTACTTATTAACATAAAAGCACATTTATTACCACTAATTGAAAGTACCAATTGAATTTTTTATACTTTCCCAGCAAAATTTAAGTTTTTTTAAAACATTTTCTCATAATGAAAAAAAGCATAAAATTCAAACTGCAGAGTAATATTCTCTTCGCATACCCTGATTTTCCTGTTAATAAAATAAATGAAAAAAAAATGTATTAAAAGCACTTGATTTTGTTCTTCCGTTTTTTCGGGAAATATCCTTTACTTTTATCCAGAATAAAAAGAATGCTCAGCATTATGTTAGGGAATTAAAAAAAGGAAAGATTTTCAGGAAAGGAAAAAAAAGGGGGAGGAAATCTAGTAATTTGGTTACCGAACGATTTTATCCCATTCCACCCATTAAATTACCCAGCATCCTTTGCCATGATGTATATGTAGTCATAGTCGTGACATACAGTACGTATTAAATCTTTCTCCGCCAGTATTTCATTGTAATTAGTATCAAGAGAATAGAACCTATATACGCAGCAACAAAAAGATTGGAAGAAAGCATATTTTTTTTTACGAACGAGTACAGAATGAAACGACTTTTTTCCCCCTTTTTCCCAATTTATTAAATGATAAAGATTTTCTCAGAATAGTTTTTTAAAGTATTTTTTTTAAATTTTGTATTAAGCGATGGCTTTGATACTATTTTATTTTAACATTCCATCAAACAATTCGCAAATTAATACCATGGGGACTTTTACAAATAAATATATAAGAACAAAATGAAAGCTATTAGAATCAAACAGATAAAATTTTAATTCTTTGTTTTTTTATAACGACGTCGGATTCTTTAAAACGGCTGAAATTGTATATGACTGCAAGATCTTCAGATTTATATAATGCGGCATTTTAATTCTTTTTTAATAAGATATAGCAATTTATGACGTAAAAGCAATTTAGACAGAATTCTTTGTGAATGAGCATTTCTACTAGAAATTAAAGACTTTTTCTTTTATTAGTAATTAAGAATTTTAACGAGGTAATTTAATCTTATATGTTTTATAATGATACAATTTTGCCATCAGATTTTTTTTTGCTTCAATTAATAACTTTTTATCGGCAATTTCATGCGAGGTTCGTTATAATGATAGCTCATTTGATTAGTTTTATTTTATGTAATTCTTAATAGGTCCATGTTTTTACTTTAAATGATAAGGAAAATGCAATTGTTTAATGCATATTCTAACATAATTTAAACAGGTATGCATGTAACATCTGCTTTTAATATTTAGTGAAAATATAATTTCTGTCATCATTAATATAGAAACATATATTAAGCTTGTATTTCCTTTTCTTATGAAAATTTATTTTCCTTTTTATGAAAAGATAAAAAATCTGTATACATCTCTACAAAACAAATCAAACATAATTATTGCGCATTAATAGACTTTAATCGTAGTTTATTATGATTTTTTTCTCTAGAAATGTATAATGCATTTGGCAATCCAAAAAAGTTTTGTAGTAGAAAAATGGAGAATTAAGTTGTTTGTTAATTTTCGTAACCCAGTTTTAAGCGTATTCATGACTACTAACTTGTCAACAATTTTCGCCTCTTATTCATTTTTAAGGTCTCACTAGTGAAAACTTGACAATAATACTCAATAACATTAAATTATTTTTTTTTCTATATTTATCGAGATAGAATCTTCTGAAGCAAAACTTTTATGGGTAGAATAATAATGGAATAAAATATTTTACTGATAGATTCATATCTAATAATATGATTCCGTAAAATTATTATATGATTCTGTAACCTTATTATCATGCTTGATACATTTGTCATATTATTTCCATATTTAATGGTATGATAATAATATTTCAGAATCATACTTAAAAGCGTATTGAATGCCATTTTAATAAAATCACGACTGTACAGAATCTTACTTGAACAAATTTTGAAATGTACGGATTGGTTGATGCAAAGTTTTGGTACCAGAGACATACTCGCATAACAGAATTTCAGTCGACTAAATCTCGCCTATTCATTGACCCACTCTTAGTTGAAATAAAATATATTTAGATTATTCGAATAAGGGACGTAATTTGTTATGCTGTATCTATTGTTTTCTAATTTTTGTATTCAAGATAACAAAAACAGACAGCATTATAAGTTAA